TGCCATAATAGTGAGTAAAATCAACCGAAAATACTGAATAACGATAATTGTCCTTCCAGGGATTTCGCCGTAGTTTGCTACACAGCCGTTTTTAGTGTCGTCACGCAACGCTCCTCTAAAGGAGCGTTGCGTGACGACACTAAAAACGGCTGTGTAGCAGACTAATTTCGCCTAGGAGGCATCCTAGTAGCTTGCGCGTATATATAGGAAAGTACTCAGTTGAAATATGCAGTCAGTATACCACAAAAAAACTGGATTTGTTAATGACAGGGACCGCATGGAACAAAAGCCGGTTAGGATGACGTAAAACAGAAAACGCCCGAAGGGACCGCTTAGGTTGATTTTGTGACATTTACTCTTTTACGTTATGTCTCATGTTCAGTGACATTCTTTGGAGCAGCTGTTGTGAAAGCCGATAAAGGTGAACGGTCTTTAACTGTTTGTAAGCACTGAGGGGGTTTGCCAGACAGGAGTTTATCATTCGACAAATCTTGGCTCATCCTGTAACAACCTGTAAAACTCACGTGTGACGTAAAATAAAGGAAACAAAAAATTCAGCACAATAGAACCTAGGAAAACAAAAGGTGCAAAACAAAGAAAAAGTTCCCTGGTTCTTACACTAAGGTAAACCCCAAATCTTTGATCATGTTTGATCGGAAACAAGAGCTCATTCTCTCTTGTCACCAATGTTGAAGCTACAAATGTAATAATTGACCACAAATGTAATAATGCACTCAAATGTAATACAAATTGACGGCAAATGTAATAAAACCGGCAAATGCTATCCAAACCGTATATACTTGACAGAACGCCACCCTCAATATAAGTGGGGCAAAAATAAGCACCGCGGCGCTCTTTCGAAAACACAATATCCTATCGCATTTAATCGAAAGGAGCGCTACCCCGAATAGCCTGCGAAGCGCAGACGCATTTCCGGTCGTCACTTCTCTCTCTCCGAAAAATAGCGTCTGCGACCCCGAGCGACAAAACGATTTCCGTGACGTAAACCTTTTGTTTTGATGTAGGCCAATCAGATCAAAGGATAGAATACAGCTCGAGTGACTCCTCGCGACCTCGCGCGCTGAAGTGTCTTGGATTTGGAGAGAATTACCAAATACGCTTTGGAACGTGAATTTCACGACCATAACAAGGTTTCCTGCGACGTTGAATGCTGACTTCTTTATGAAGCAACTGCTTCTTAAGCTATGTATGTGATGTGGGCCTTTGGTTTCGCTTTATAAAATACGGTAGTACGTGACATAAACAAAACCTGGACAAAATAATCGCTACAGCGAAAGGAAAGCAACATAGCTTAATGACATCGCGCTCAGACTTATTTATTTCAATTTAACCAGCGCTGACAAAAGGTGGTGAATCAATTACACAGACACATCCTTGACTGATTCAGAAATCTCTAACAATCGCTCGTTAATAATTCTAGTATCGCCACAACACAATGATCTGAAATATTATAAACCTGGGCCAGACCCAGCGTGAAATAAATAGTTACAGCAGTAAATAGATCATAGTCAAAATGACATTTCAGCTACGACGCTTCTACTCATCTCACAAAAAACTATGGAAATGAGAACCTTGAAAAGAACATGTATTTAAAGAAATATACCGGAGCAAATATAAAATGCTTTCGATCTGATCAAAGTTCTATCTGAACCAAGAAGCAACCACGCATGGGAAATCAATTACCACATGTCCTACCTTTCAAAGATAAAGGATATCTACTAAAAAATATCTAAAACGGCACACGACAAACTATCGAAGAGTTCTCCAAGGCATACTTTCCTGCCAGGAACCAGAAAGGAACAGAAGCAACAAACGGCATGATGCGTCTACTGTCATTAGGACAGTTATCGTTTCGAATATGATCAAAACAACTACGTCTGATAAATCATTGACTCCGTAGGCAAATAGATGAAAAATGTCCTCTAATCTTTTCTTCGATATGAATCCTCTTGATACTTATTTCGTCAATCAGTCCCACAATCCTGGCAAATTAACTTTCGTAAACGCGTCGTTCTGAGAAAAAAGGACGGCTATACACAAGCCACGTCGTCCTTTCAATTTCGACTTGAAAACATATCCATCGCGCACGATCCTGCGAGAAGTCTCGCGAGTTAGTTCCTTGATTTTAAGAGCTAAACCGCGATTGGCTAAAAATGTTTTACGTCACGGAAATCGTTTTGTCGCTCGGGTTCGCAGACGCTATTTTTCGGAGGGAGAGAAGCGACGACCGGAAATGCGTCTGCGCTTCGCAGGCTATACCCCGAACGGCCTTGGCATCGAAAAGCAATCTAGTAAGAGTCGCACATGATAAGAAGAAAACTGAATAATTGAACGCCTAGGCACTCTTTCGAATAAACATATTTTTCTCCTGCATTCAACCCAGCGAGAGTACTGCATTTCCCAGCAATACAAACCTTTTAAGATGTTGATTATCATTGCTGATGTAAGCTTGGAGCATATTGATACAAGTGCAAACCTTTTTTTGTTTTGAACTTTCATTTCTTCTGAAGAGTATGGTATTTAACCAGTAGTCGGAAGATAAATAAGTATCTCCCAAAACAACTTCAAATCTTATTTATCGTATACCTAGACTACGAGCAGTCTCTCTTTTTTCTTTGTCCGTCGAGCAAAACGCCCGAGACACGCAAATGACCACGCGCGTGACTGAAGGCGCGAGACGAGAGAGGCACGACAAAATTTCACATAGTACGATCAGCATTGTACATTGCAGTATTCTGCTTGCAGAATTTAATATGTCTACTTTTCATTTTTGCTGATCAGGTCTTTATAGATCCTACGTTCTTCGGCATATTCGTTTGCGGTCCTTTGCAGTCCTTTGTGGTTAATGTTTGTATTTTGCGGCCGTAGATCTTTTATAGATCCGATATGCCGTAATTCTTGTATGGTTCTGTCCATGTTTTAGAGGTTGGTTTTGGCCCAATCATCAACTTGACACTTGGACTCTTGCCCCCCAGAAGACACGTGGTATGGCGTGATTCTGTGGGTGTTGAGAGTGGGCGCGGATCATCAGAGCTTTGTCTGGTTGTTACGCCATACTGACGGGCCCCAAAAAGGGCAAAACAGCTGTCTCTGGCTACAACCCCGCTCTGTTTTGAGTCCTTTCGGTGTCGTGTTGATGTCTTGCAGAGTTAATTTTCACGTAGTACGATCAGCATTGCAGTATTCTGATTGCAGAATTTAATATGTCTACTTTACATTTTTGCTGCATATTTTATTTTATTTTTATTTTATTAGCTTTGACCTGAAGAATACAAAAAAAAAAAAACACTGTAGATATGCAAACAAAATATTAGGGCAGGGACACCGCAACAGCTAAAGCCAATTACTGCGGACCCACATACTGCGGACCCTGCTTAGGTCTTTATAGATCCTACGTTCTTCGGCCCTAATTCTTGCATGGTTCTGTCCAGTTTAGAGGTTAGTTTTGGCCAATCCTTTATTTTCTCTGCGAGACATCAACTTGACCCTTGGACTCTTGCCCCCCAGAAAACACGTGGTATGGCGTGATTCTGTGGGTGTTGAAAGTTCTAGGTCAGGGCTTAAATCAGAGGGCGCGGATATTTTTCATCAGAAATTTCCCTAAGTATTACGCTATACTGACGATCCCTAAAAAGAGCGAAACAACTGTCTACGTCTATGGCTACAATCCCACACTGTTTTGAGTTCTTTCGGTGTCGTGTTGATGTCTTGCAGAGTTCATTTTCACGTAGTACGATCAGCATTGCAGTATTCTGCTTGCAGAATTTAATATCTAGAATATTGTATTTTTCGAAAGAGCGCCGCGGCGCTTATTGATTTTCCTACTTAAAGATGCCAAGGTAAGGTTATTTGAGAGCGACGCTCTTTGCATTAAATTCAATGCAATTTTTTCGAAAGAGCGCCACGGTGCTTCATTTTTGAGCTTTCTGGTGTTTGAAATCTCCTTCTTTTATTTAAATTAAGGGCGGTGCTTTTTCGAGTATATACGGTTTGGATAGTATTGACGGTTTTATTACATTTGTGGTCAATTTGTATTACATTTGTGGGTTCAACCAAACGATTTGCCAGACACAAATCACTTTGGGAAAATGGCTCCGTCCTCAAACAAGCAATTCGAACGAACTAGTGAATCAAGGTAGTTCAGCGGAACGATGGACCATTCAAGAAATTCGCCCATTATTAAAATCTGTGCTGACGTATTCCCTGCTCACAGATAACACCCTATATACAAAGCTTTTTTTTAAAGCAACGTATTGTAGAGGAGAACTTGGCCGATACCCTCTATCTATAGACATAAAGGCTTCCCTGACTAGCAAAAATTAGGACAAAAATCAGACAACCCTCTGATTTAAACTGTACAAAATTACTGCCATCTCAGCAGAGCTGTTGTTTAGGGAAAGTAATGTTTGGCAAGTGCACAGGGTTAGGCGGGTTCAAGGGGCACCCAGTAAGAATATAGTTCAAAACCACTTAAACATAGCATTGTTTAACGTATTTTATTATTTAAACGGTAGATATAGGCATATTTTTATCTCCTAAAATTTTTCATCTGTTCGGATTTCCTAACTGAAAGTCTAGTGAGGCGAAAATATAGGGATTAAAACTTACCATTTCGAAAATTTCAGCCAGAAACTGAAGGCTCCCGAAAATTCTAGGTGACCTTTTTAGGGTAAAAATCCGTTAAACCGTGGGCAATTATACCATTTTTTAGATGTTCGAAAATCCTAGGAGAGGGAGGCAAGCAAGAAATTTTACAATAAATGTTCCGAAAATTCTAGATCTCAAATCGTCTTTCCAACAGATATTTTCCGAAAATTTACGTTGGGTGCCCCTGACCGAACGCTTTATTTTATCCAGCAAGAAAATCCTTTGTAAAAGCTTAATTTGTTTTGATTTATGATTGACAACTCTCTCTAAAACAAAAACGACAGGCTATGATTATAATTATTTGTCAATTTAATGCTCCTCTTTAAAAAGCGATGCGAAGGGTTCTTTCACCATACTGTCCGACAGCCATGACAACTATTACTAGAGCCGTTCACCTCTTACCGATCTTTTATCCTATCCTGATCGTCGTCACAATTTTTACCCCATATATCATAGCGGTATCGTTGGACCATGTCTACCCGTTTTTGCCAAGTATAAGCAAAACAGCAGGATTTGAGCCAGAGGGGTCAATTTTTGGTTTTCTGATGTTTTTAGTGGCGTTGTTCGGGTTGCTAGCGCTCTTTACCCGATATCTTCAACTCAAGGGATTCAGTCAACAAGGATTTGAGAAAGATGTTTTACACAAGGTGAAATGGTTCAACCCAATTTCTCTGCCACCTGGTGTTTTGGGCATCCTAGGAGTTGTGATAGTGGCGAACTTTCGTTCTTCAGTTATTCAGGTGAGTTCCGCCACAAATTGCTCAGTAGTAAAATTTTAATATATATTTTATCTTTAATATATCTTGCTGGGTTCTTGCCCGTTTTCTGTAGCCTGTTGAATTCCGGTAAATAGAAGTAAAACACCAAGGAAGCAAAAAATCTCTCAAGGATATACCTGATATGCTGGGATGGTTTCTCGTTGTCAGAGCAGCTTTTCATTCTTAAATATAATGACCCCAGGAAGGTCTTGCCACACGCGAATAATTGAACAGCTAATCGTTTATTCTTTCTAAAAAATAGATTTCGCAAAAATTCGTCTAAATCGAATACAGCGGGTGTAGTTCAGTTTTTACCCTATTCGTTTAACCCAGGCAATACTTTTAGCATATGTCAGTATGCTAAGCGTTTCGAAGATATATAGCATGTTTAGCATGCATTTTGTGGCAACGGGAAAAATAATAGAAATATAAACTTAGGCAAAAGTTTCATACCCTGTCTAGTCGAGCAAGTTTTATCCCATCTATAAATTCATCTTCATACTATAGGTTGGCGACAATATTATTGGCCCTGAATGGATTAACCACATGAAAAAACAACGAGAGCCAAAGCATGACAATTGAAAATGGCCGCGGGTCTAAGACGCTTTATTTAGTGAAAATTAGGAATTTAGAACTAGGCTTTGTTAATTTTCTAGCGTTTTTGTGTCCCTTGGGTACTCACTAATTTATCAAGTAGAAATGCATGCTGCAACTGTATTAAAAACAATTTGGGTGTGGGGGGAAAGCGTATGCGCCGGGAAAGGGACAAGCATACAAAATAAATTCATATTTAGGCCCTGTCCACACTAATGCGTTTTCAGTTGTCATCAAAACTGACGCATCGATCCATCGATTCGCATCCACACTACTGTTTTGATGTGTTTTCGGCTGTCCAAACTGATTCGTTCGACAGCGACAGAATTGGATGTTGTGACGTAATTTGAACTCTACGTGCATGCTACAAACACGTCAGTTTGATGCGTTTTCGACTGTTCACACTAATAGACGATTAGTATGCGTTTTCAAATCGATGCGTTTACGATGAAAACGCTCAGCGTATTAGGCCTAAACGCATCGAAATGTATGCGTTTACAAACGAAAAAGCACTTAGTGTGGACAAGGCTTTTTCTGACAAAGATATGGTCACAGAAACCCCAGGAGACCCCGCCCGTCGGCTCCTAGCAGCGTCATTGCCTCGGAAAACATTCAAGAGCAACAAAATTACCTGTTCCCTGAGGGACCAGTTATTAAGAATTGCCAAGAGACATTATGGCTCTTGGAATTGCCAAATACGGTTGGTGAAAGTCAGTTATATTTGTTACCTTTTGATTTTTTTCTTTAGATAGTCTCAGCCATATATCAAGTTCATAACGTCGGGACTGGGGTACTCTTTATTGGCAGCGGTGTATATTTCTG